CTGCCTCATGATGGTCATGTAGTGCAGGGGCTTGCAGATGGCCACGTAGCGGTCATAGGCCATGACAATGAGGAGGATGATCTCAGAGCCCCCCAGGAAGTGCTCTACAAAGAGTTGCATCAGACACCCACCCAAAGAAATGGTCCTCCTCTGGTAGAGCAGATCAATAAGCATTTTTGGGGTGGTGACAGAGGTATAGGAAGCATCAACGAGGGACAAGTAAGTGAGAAAGAAGTACATGGGAGCAGACAGGGTGGGGCTTAGTGAGATGGTGATGACCACAAGCAAATTGGCCAGCACAGTGATGAAGAAAATGAACAAAAAGACAACGAAGAGTATTTTTTGCAAGTGTGGATTCTGTGTGAGTCCCAAGAGAACAAATTCAGTAACATTACTGGGAGGCATGGTGTGATCCATTTGGGAAGTAATACCTTCTCAAATGCTGAATTACCCACTGAAAGATAAAGATAGAAAGTGCATTGTGCAAGGTCATAGACTGAATTTCATAGTAAAAAATGCGGTGGTCACTATTGACTTCGTCTTCCCTCAGTCTAATAGTGCTTTAGTGGATCTTTTCCGTTCCCCCATGACGCTGTCTCTTCAGATGTCTAATATTCTCTATCACCTAGAGAACGTTCACAAGGCATTGGTTATTGGGTATTTAACAGGAAGACACAGGACTATGTATATGAACTGTGGATTCTCCATTTCCAACACCTTGGGACTCTGTGACATCCTTCACTACCCCATGGGTCTGATCGTTCCTCTGTGTCTGTGAGCTTCCAAATTATAGCTGTGAGATATACTGTGTGAGTTGCAAAGTGCGGCACAGAGGTAAAGCTTGTTTTCTTTTCCAAGATTTATATTTTAATTCCTAATTTTGAAGTATAAAAAAAGACATGGCCAAGAGCTCTCTTGCAAGATGATCCAACCAAGCAAATGAGGAAAATGTGTAAGTTGTTGGGGACACACCTTCCCTGGCACCTGAAATACATATATAATATTCATGGTTGTTTCCTCAGTGTGCCTATCATTGTCTGATAGCTTGTCTACAATGTGTGGAACCTATTAGATAAGTTCTTCATGAATTCCCACCCACACCTTGCATCCCACTAAGACACACCTACCTGGCCATAAACCAAAGAGCTCATGTACTCTGTTATTCTCATTCTACTTAACCACAATACATAGCTACTTTATGAGATATGTAAAAAAAATCCTTAAAAGGAAGGGTAAATTACAATTTTATATTTTTTGCATAGCTTCAAAATATATCATTGTGGAATTTAACTTTCAAGATAATTACACTGGCAGTCAATATTGCTTATTCTTCAAACTTTCATCCAAAAGACAGTTTAAAACAGTCTTATTCAGTAAATTCACAGACATGAACATTTCAATCCATAAAGATCTATTAAGCAAAAGAAACCATTCTTTTCAAAGTTATGGAAATACAAATTATGTAATACAGAAAGAGACTGCCAGATAAGATAAAGTCCATATAACCTACAGATTAAGTTAATACAAATGCATATGTTCACTCAATCAACTACTATTTATTGGACATTTTACTTTGTGTAACAATATATGCTACCTTATATAATTGTAAATTATCTGTGCCAAATGACTTTTCATCACTCTTCTTGTATTTATCACTTTCCTGCAGCAATTCATCCATCCACAAGAGAGTGACCAGCCCCACATCTCATGTTTCTGCTGTGTTCATTATTCTGTCTTCTCCTCCAGCATTCCTCATTCTCAGGTAAGAATGCTGAATTATTAACAGAAGTGGGGGAGATTATCCTAATTCGGGGTATACATATGTTCAAGGAACTTACAGCAACCTCATTGTATACCCTTGTTCTAAAAACAATTCTCAACTTGTTGTGAAGAGAGAACAGTGTACATAAAGCAAGAATAAAGCAGCACAAGTGATTTAGAAAGGACATCAAACGAATAAACATCATTTTGACTCTGACTTTCCAGCACTCTTCATAGACATAAACTCTAAAGGAAAATATTTTTAAAAAATTATTATGTAAAAACATATTCAATGTGATTTTGTAATGGCTGAGAAAAATTATAAACCGTGTACAATGTCCAAAATTAGGAACTAAAATATAATAAAATGGGTTCTTATCTATAATAATATACATGTAAATTTAACAAAGATATAAAGACAGTGTTAAAATTTTTAATATCATTGGAAATGCTTTTGCTGTTATTTTAAATGGGAAAATTTCAGAATGCAAATTTTAAATATGGAGTATAATCCTAGTTTAA